ATTAATGTAATATAAGAAATTTAACAATTATACTGCAAGCATTAATCCAAATATCAATTATAGCTTACAAAACGTAATCTTACTATAATCACATGGAGCTAAGGTAATTTCATAACTAAAACGTATCCAAAAAATAACAGTTCATATTCAAGATCATTGACATGCCTATAAAATTATGAATTCAATATATTGCACAAATTGAAGCGTGAGCATGATTTTCTTTCTCCGTTGTTGGCAAAAGTATATTTCTCCCTATTTGTCATCATAAAAAAACATACATTACAAATCATATGATGCAAAATTAAATCCATAAATTATCGCTCCTTTTTACATAAGTAAAATGAAAGTATAAGTTCAAGGGATATAAGAGAAGAGTATCATACCATACGAAATGTACCATAACATAGCTCAATGATGCAATAGGGATCATACTTTTATTCTCCAAAGGGCTTAAAGAATGAGAGAATTTCTTTATATGTCAAGGTCAAATTTCAAACAAGAGCATAACATGCTATTTTTTAGATTTTTCAAATAAAAGTACATAACATAACACACATGTGAGACTTCAAGAAAATATTTTAAAAAATGATTAATAGAATTTCACACAGATAAAAAATGAGCAGATAGAATTTCAACAGATAGAATAAAAAATTTCAACAAATAGGTGTTAATAAAAATTAAAAGGGTCAAATTAAAAACAAAATGTTCTCTAAAATCACCGAATGTATTTCTTATCACAATATTTCATAAAGAGTGTAATTCTTGTAAAAAAAGAAAAAAATCATGGGAACTAATGCCTTATACTTTTTTAAATTTGACTTTTCACAAAAAATTTTATTTTTAAATAATGTCAATTTTTTTTTATTTTTTTAAAAATTTATAGGTCTGTCTTGTATAGATGATTATAAAAAATTGGTTTTTTACTTTTATTTTGTTTTTTATTTTTCCGATTCATCTAGTTAAATAAAACCCCAATATATATATATATATATATATTTTAAAATAAAAAAATAAATTAAAAAAGTCAATCCCAAATCAACATATAACAAATTAAGGATTATTCAGGATGATTTGAATAAGTATATTTTTTACTTTATGAAGAAATTACCGGTAATCCCAAATTAGGGAATGATGATCCATTTAGTCCTGTGTTTTTTCTTATGAACCATTTGGTCCTATTTAATTGGTAAGGAATATTTTCATTTGATTTGGCATCGGCAGATTTTACACATTTACCCTTGTTATGATTTTGGTGGTTTTTTTTTTTACTTATTTGTGTGTCATGATTGAGATGGTAATGTTTTACATTTTTATTTTTATGTGTTTGATTTTTGTAGAGTGATATGCAGTGGATAAGTTTCAATTGCTGATGTTGTTTTCTTTTAATTAATGGTGTTGTCGACTAACGTTTATTAATTCCAGATGTGTAATGTTGGTTTTTCCATGGAATGGTGTTGTCGTTAGATTTGTTGAGTACGGACGACGATTACACCCACATTCAAGTAAGGTGGTTACCAACTAACGTATTGTTCATTTGTTGGGAGTTTGTATTATTATCGTACTGGTAATTGGTTTCACCAGTTATACGAACACATAAAAAAAAAACCAAGGCATGGGTTCCACACATAAAGGGTTTGACAACCCAGATTGTTGAACATATGAGTACATTCCAGATGCACCTGGGTAATGGGTGCGTGTAGCCACACAAACAAATTGTTGCGTGGTTGGTTTATATTACTGAACATCTCCGCCCAACTAGACATAACATTACAAGCGAATTGAATTGTGTGTTACATCACTTTCTTCCGTCTTCGGACAATTACTTATCATTCGATTTACAATTGCACTGTTTATTTCATAATTTTGTTCAAATCCATTTAAGGGGATGGGTTGCAAACACATTGACAATGGGTTCCTTTCAATATTCCAATGACATTTGCATAATCTCATTACAATATAATGTCAGAAATAACCAAAACATCACCATTTTTCATTACATAAAACATAATGTACCACTCGTATACCTGTCATATGGGATTAAAAACCAATCAAACATACCCCACACAGAAGATGATGTTACATTTAACATATATATGTAACAAAATCATTATTCGTTCGCGAATCCTAAAGACATGAAGTCATACGTGGACATATACTAAAAATGATAGTATTATTAGCCGCAACGTAATGTATCTGCTTAGAAAGATATAACAGCATTTGACGAAAACAAAACCAATAATTGCCTAAACAAATCACCAAAACAATTTCCATTTCATACGATGGTCTAACACTATCCAAAATTACAAAGTGCAAATCGTCCAAACACATCAAAAATCAAGGCAGAGCTCACAAAATAAATAAAAAAAACAATGTCAAATTTGTAGGTGGGTGTGATTCGAGCTCAACAAACAAATTACGTAGTCCTTGTATGCAATCCTCATTTTGGGTCATTTAAGAACACTTTTATCATTGCCGCACGTAGAACAAATGGCGCTAGTCCGTCCATTGTGTTGTCAATTTCGACTCCGTGAACATATTCGTAGATGATGAAACAAACAAAAATCACACAGTCCGACTTGCAACCATATCACTGTCATTACACTGCAACAAAACTAAAACCCAAGAATAATGTTAACGCCACTTATGAGTTTGAGACTTGTTGTAGGCAGTCCACAACGGAGACAAGCGTGCCGTCGGAATCTTGGGTTTGAACATTGCTGGGTGACAACCTTGGTTTCACAAAGCTAGTATGGTGGTCGACCACCCACTGTTTCTGGTTAATCAATGTCATGTTTACTTAGTGAATTATCAAGCAATGTAACCATAAAATTACTAACATTAGCAAGACAAGCTGCATAGGGCATAAGGAGTATAAAAGTTGTGCGACTAACAAGGAAAAACAATTCAATCTCAAACAAGGCCACGTAACATTCAATCACTTACCACTTTCAAAGCCTCGTTGTAGTGCTAATCTCGCATCCTCCTTATTTGCCTCATGAAATTGTAATGCTTCCACGTTTTGCTTTCCGAATCATGCACCATGACAGTTCAATAGTTGGCAAGGTAAATCGAGTAATGGGTGTATCTGTGCCCACACGCCTACAAGAATATAATCCCATTGAAATATGAAACCCACCATAATATTTACACAAAATAATACTACGTTGCCTACTTGGAAATGGGGTTCATGGATTTTCATCGTCATCCATTTTGAAACAAACCTAACGACAACAACACGTCACGAAAGCACAATATTACATCGAAATTAATGAACATTAGTAAACACAACATTAATTTATTCCATCCCAACACCCGACACATCATTACGTGAAACATTTTCTAACATGGACATCATCAACACCACACATCACGAAACACGTAAGGCATGCAAATTACATACCAACACCAACTTAATCAAACTCAATAAACAAGTGACCCCAACCATATTACCACACGACGACGAAAACAAATCAATAAAATGATACTAACACTGTACTTCATAAACATTGACACGATTCACATCACATTCATACTACCACAAATGTTATTAACAATCCATATCACCAACTTAGTCCATACATACAAAAAACAAGCGACTTGGTGGTATATTACAATAGTATGACAAACCCAACAAAACAAATCGCATTAACATTTCAACATCACAAACAACACATGAACCATAAACTGACAACGGCACACTAACCCAACAAGTGAAACTAGCAGAATTAAATCCAGTACAAGAATAAACTCTACCGGAATATACCCCCATTTAAATACGAAACCCACTATACCATTAACACACAATAACATTACGTGGAGTGTATGTGACAATATTAGGCTGCAATCACAACATATGTTCTAATATTCATCCAACAAATCCAGTTCTTTCATAAAAACAAAGAAAACAACATCAGTAACCACATACCTAATGCCATCGGCCATCGACACAGTCATCGACAATGACGAAGGAAAGATGTAAACTTGTCGACTACACGTCGTCAATGTCAACACAAATGTCAAAATGGTTCAGTGCTTGCTCTTAATCACCGACGGAAAATGTACTGCCAGAATGGGGCTCTTCTTTTTTGAGGGGTTTGGAGATAAATCAAATGTTAATTTAGGCAACACACAATGACAATTAAACATTGCCAACTTCAGATTAAGCACAAACGTCACAAAAATTACTCGCATTAACATTGGAAACCTAGAACTTTCCATCTTCATCTTTGCCGTTTTGATCCGGTAGAAAGGAAACCAAAAATTTATATCGATGCTTTTGGACACAAGTAATTTTAACATCACCAAAACCCACATTTACCCCTAACGTCTAGGCCAACTTGCACAGCAAAAACGTACAAATACGTTATTAACATTGAAACGAGACTTGTTTACCGTTAATTGTTTACAAAAACATGACTAAATGGATTAAAATATCATAATTTGGGATTTATTAGTGTATTACCCTTAATTGTTTACAAAAGAAATATAAAATATAATATAATTCTAATATGACTCAAATAGGAATTAATGTGACCTAAATAAAATAAAAAGGTAAAAAAAATGTATTAACACATTGCAAATAAAGCCATAATCTCATCCTTTGTGATATTACACAAATAGTTAAAAGGAATGATTTGAGAAGTTGATTAAAAATTGGCTTTTTTACCGTTTTGTATATAAGTGTGATTAAAAATGAATTAAAAACTAAAAATCTAGCTTTCCTAATTGTCCCTACAACAATGATTCATCCCATTAAAAACATCACCACTAATAGCACTAATGCATTAAAAAAATAAAAAAAATAAAAAAAAAATACAACTCCAAGACCAAAACATCACATCATTAATGGCAGGACCCACTGCCACCTAATTAGTGCTCCCAAACATTTTTCTTGTCCCTAAGACCACCATCTCTGTCACACGTGTCCTCCCCTCATTCGACATAAACCCCAAAACCAGCAAATCCGACCGACACCGGAATCGCCCCCCACCTAGAGAACTCTCTACACAATCTACCTTCCAAACAAAACAAACCCACACACTCACTCACCACAGCCTCTTTCTCGCTCTATGTCCTCTAGACCTCCGGACCAGACCTCCCCATCTTCCTCCTCCTCCTCATCATCTCCAACAACAACAACAAGAAGAACTCGATTGAGGAAGCTCTCCGACACAATCCGATTCTCTCTCCGCAAACCCACTACCACCACCACCTACATCTACTTTCTCTCTCTCCTCAACCGATTCCTCTCTAAAACCCTAGATTTCCTCTCCATGGATTCCCTTCTCTTCCCTCCTGACGACGACGACACCAACGACCTCTTCTTGGACCGCTCTCTCCTCACCCCCCACCCTTCCTCCTCCTCCTCTTCCCTCCCCATCGAACAACTCTACTTCGTTCCCTACAGGTACTTCTCTCTCTCTCTCTCGATTGATTCTGAAATGGTGTTTTTAATGTGGGTTTTGGATTGTTAGGTGGTGGAGTGAGGCGCGGGAGTCGTTGTTTGGGGACTCGGGTGAGGTGAAGGGGGTTTTGTATGCGGCGGAATGGTCTGGTCCTCGTTTGGGGACTATGGGGATTTGGGTCTATGATTCCAAGATCGAAATTTCGCTCAATTTGAGGAGAGAAGACTGTTCCCGGAAGAGTGATTGTGGGGAACAAGGCGATTATGCTTTGATTGCGGAATGGATGTTCTTGCGAGCTCTTAAATGGTGAGAGATTTTTAATTGTTCAAGCTTACTTGTCCGCTGCTATTTGTATTTGTGTTCATATTGTATATCCTTACTATGTTAATTTTTTGGTGCTTGAAATGAAAATCGTGGAATTAGTGTACAAGAACAACATTTGGAATGAAATGGGCCGTTAATGAGCGAGTAAGGGCAAAGGAAAATGGGAAAAAATGACTGGGAAAGATTAGTTTTGTCGATTTACTAGTTGATTAGGCTAAAGTGGTTATGGGCATTATTACATAACAATGTCTTATACTATATAGAGTTGAACATTGTATTATATTATGTGCTTGCTGTGGACTGTTCTCTAGCTTTTGGTATCATCAAGTTAATTCTGTTACAAATACAATATATAGAGAGAAAAAGAGGGTTTGTATTAATCCTCCAAGCATTTTAGAACAAATTTACTCTAATTAAATAGGAATAAACCCTAATGGCTAACCAATGACAAATGTACCTTAACTACTAAACTACATTCCTTTCACACCATTTTCAAATTCATGTCATGAGTCTTGGTGAACTGAAATTGAGTAGACGTATGAGTCTTGGTGAAAATATTTGCAAGAGGATGAAATGAAAGGAAAAACAATAGTGACAAGCTGAAGATGCTGATGAACAAAATGGAAATTAATGGTTCGCGTGCGTATGAAAAACAGAATTGTGTGCAATTTGGATGACATTCTTATTATCACAATACAAAGGAATAGGGATTAGGGTTTGTAATTTTTCTTTTTTACTATATAATTATATAGATTAACATGATTGACCCAAGGACCAAATAGGTTTAGACGAAAGTATTAGAGTCAGTAGAGGATAGTTTGTGCTGTTAGAGATGTATGCCTTACCTGTTTGCAAATGGCTTGGGCAGGCACTAAAAGTCATCTTTTCTAATTGGTTGAGTGATATGAAAGGGATGATATTCTTTTTGGGCACTATAAAATTAGTTTTAGATCTCAAAACGGATTCTTGTTAAGTAGCTTGCATATATAAATGCCAACAGTATTGCTGCTTTTTATTATTTGAAGGGAAAATATCAAATAAATCTTGTAACTTCTTCATTAAATTTTGATTGAGTCCTCTTAACACTATGTTTAGATGGTTGATTCAGGTGTTTATAGGACTATGAAAATTTTATGGAAAAAATAGGACTTATTGACAATTTTCCCTTCTTTGAGTTGATTACTAGTACATGAGTTGGCATATAAGATTTATTAAATTTGTATGTTGATTTGAAAGCAGAATGCATCACTATTTTGAGTCGAATTTTTGTAAGGAGCTAGTGATTATATAGTATCTATGACCTCTAATTTATTATGTACTATTTATTTGTGCTCTTCTTGGTAGGCATAGTGATGGAATGGAAGTTGGAGGCTTTATAGCTGCTGAAGATCACATGCAGGACCTGTTCCCTTTACGTATCAGGCTTTCGGTTTCGTGGGAAACAGATTTATTGGTTGTAAAGATTAGTCAGAAGGTTTGACAATAGCCTGCTCAATCTTTATTTGGTTTCACTAAATGAATTTAGTTCTTGTTCTATGGTATGATTTTGAAATTTTATTTGTAAAAAATATTCATTTCTTACCCCCCTCCCCCCCCCCTAAAAATAAAAAAAATAAAAAAATTAAATAGAAGGATTTCAAGAGCCTACTGTTCTAGTTGTGATTCACAAGGGCTTTATACGAAGTGTCAAAAAGAAACTACAAAACAATCACGAAAAACTAGTCAATTGTATATGAAAAGCTCATGTTTCCTATTGTGTGATTATCATTTTACCAATGTCTTCAAGTGTGAGGTGCTAGTTTGGGAATGGCTGAAGGGGAGGGACATAAATCACTATAATAGATGTAAAAGTAAAGATGTGCTTTTACTAGAAAGATATGGCCTTTGTTGGGTTAACTGCCTTGATGTAGTATATTTTGCAAATCCCAATCAATTAATTATGGTGTCTAAGAAATTCATCATTAATTCGTGCTGAAAATGCAACTATTTTGAAACTGATTTGAATTTCCTCATGTTGTGGGGAACCTTGATGGCTGCTGGATATATTTTGTAATTGCACAAAAAATTAATGAAGGCTCCATGTGTTTGTAATTGGCAATCTAACACAACCAAATGAAAATAATCTGTCAGCCCGGAAATAAGGAGAAAAATCATGTATTCAGCATTGTACAATGATGAAAAATTGCAATATTCATTTGTAACTGATATGATGCTCATTATGAAATTGTCGAATGTCACAACCCTGTTGTGTTTCTAATTAATACAATATATGAAATTTATTGGTTTCGATGCTGGGATTCCTAAAAGTTCAAACCGTCAATTTTTGTGGTTCCTTTAACTGGAAATTTTGTAATATAATGCAGGTATGGAAATCTCACATTCTCCCAAAAATGTCAAATTTCACCTTAAATATTCAGGTTGTTCAAATTGCAAGAACAACAAATAAATCTCATGAATGAATCAATTGTGCAAAAAACTCATGGAATAAAAATCTCATAAAAGAATCAAAGAGATGGACAAACTAAACCCAACAGGTTTGTGATCCAAGAACAGAAAACACACAAATTTATCTACAATCTATGAAGACAGTGACACAATCACGAAAATATGAGAAACTTTTACTTGTAACAAGTTACCTCAACCAACCATGACAGGACCCATCAATGTAACAAACCCGATGATACGTAGCAGTCACAAGTGGAGGAAATGTTCTGCTAACCCACAACACATGCAATGTCGAACAGATGAAATGCTATTGCATGAACATGAACACCATCTGCCACTCAACAAACCTAGGAAACCGAGTTTCGCAATGATGATATTCAAGTGATCCCAGCATGTAAATCCTCATTAAAAATGGGATAATGAAATGTGTTTCATATGCTAACATATGAAAGGAAGGGCAAAAATGTGATAATAAAACCACAAATTTTGAAAAGGGACTTGATCTCACAAAAATGCCAATACATGGGACTATATTGGTTACCAGTTTTCATATAGGACTTATTTGTCTACGATATTACTTTGTAGGACTAGACACTAATTAACCCATATAACAATAGGGTGAATAATACCTAATGGTTACTAGATACTCTTATCTTTTCCTGAAATGACTATAGCCAGGAAAATCCCCAATATTTGATGGATTTATAGAGTAATTTTTGTTGATCTTCACAGTTTTTGCTTTTTGTATGTTTGAATCGTTTTTATGGTTCAATTATTTGATGATTCCTATCTCTAGTGTACACATGTGCTCTTTGAAATGTTTTATCTTTTCAAACTTCATTCATCTTTAGATCCCCTTACAGGCCTATATATGGCATAACCCTAATAACACAATCACTTGCTAAAATTACAACTAGTGAACATTGTAAAGGAGGAATTTGGCCTTCTAGGGGCCCAAAAGGCATGCATTTTAGGGCAACTTACATAGTTGGGTGAAAATGAAGGGATCGGGGGCCTAACGGAGGAGGAACTTTTGGCTAGGACCTGTTTAAAGTAGGAGTTTGGCAAGATAGCAAACATTGAGGAAGTAAGTTGGAGGCAAAAGTCTAAGCAATAGTGGCTCAGGGGGGGTGATAGAAATATACTCTAGGAAATTGTGGCTCAAGGGGGGTGGTAGAAATGTACTCTCTCTCTCTCTCTCCCAATTGTGGCTTAGTTTATTTTCTTACCATTTCAATCTCGGTGGCTAGGAGACTTGAGAAGATGTAATGAATTTCTATTGGTGGTGTAGGTGAGGAGTTCAAGAACTGTCTTGTGGATTGGTATACAATATGCAAGCCTATCAAAGTGAGTGGTTTGGGGATTAGGAGGTTCGAAATTTTTAACAAAGCATTGTTGGGGAAATGGCTATGGAGATTTGCTTTAAAAGGATAAATTTTGGAGGCTGGTGGTGTTGGCAAAATATGGAAGGGCTTTGGGTGATTGGGCTTTTTTGGAGGTAGGTGTGTGTGTCTTATGGATAATGGTGTTTAAAAGGATAAGAAGCATTTGAGATGACTTTGCGGGTTATGTTAGATTGAGAGTTGGAGATGGTGATAGAGTAAAAATGTGGAGTCTTTTGCACATAGATGGTGTGGGGAGCAAACTTTGGAAAGATCATTCCTCACCATTTTCAATTTGTTTAGGAACCTCGGGGCTACTATAGCTAAGTATGCATAGAGGGATGGTTGGTAACCATACATTTTGAGACATTCATTTAATGCACGTGTAGGATTGGGATGAGCTTTTGGCCTTATTTCAGATATTTTACGAGTTATTAGGCTTTTAGGGAAACCAAGATGTTTTTGTGGGAAACCAAGTGTGTATGAGGTGAAATCCTTCTATAGAGTCCCTTATAAAAGGGTTTTGGTAGGTTGGAGCTCCACTGAAGGTATTCTCTTTGCTTGGAAATGTGACTTATGAGAAGATCCTCATCATTGATAATGTTATGAAGAATGTCATATCACAGTAAAGCTATGATGCATGTGCAAGTGTGATGAGGAAAACTTCTCGCATCTCTTGTTTCCTTGTAGGGCAGTTCAGGAGTTGTAGGACTTGAGCCTTGTGATGTTTGGAATATATTGGGCTTCCCTAGAGGCATTGTGGATTTTTTTGCATGCTTGGTGCAATGGTAGGAAGAGGAGGTAGGCATGACTTTTGACCCCTTAACATGTCATGTGGATAATTTTTTGTAGATACAAGGAACCTATTTATAGACTAAAGTCTTCTTTTGCTACCATTTTGTATGGTTGGTTATCGGCTGTTTTGGGGGGGTGGGGTGTGTGTGTGGTTGTATTTTTGATACTTTAGAGTTGTATGGAGTTATCTTTTTGTGGGGTTCTTTGAGGCCATTGAATGGGTCTTTTTTTGGCTAATGTAAATGGGTGCCATCGCTGTGATTTGTTTTTAATACAATTGCTTTCCTTGATTGAAAAGAAGGAACAGTCAAACATGTTATATGCAAGTGTAGTTAAATAGTATTCTGCTAGTGCTGAAAGAAAATGTCAGATAACTTGAAGAGCTTCAAGAAACCTCATTGTCGGTAAGGATGACCAAGATAAAAATCAATTATTTGAAATTGTTGAAGTTGGTATATGTTCTTGCATGGAAAAGGCACCCAATTTGTGATGCAGAACTGTTCTCGTTTTATGACTACGTTTATCCCCTATGAAAATTCTCTTATGATTTCCCTCTCAATGCACCTTGGAAAGAGGTGTCATCACCTCAATACGTTTTTAGTTTTCCAAACTATGATGGAGAAAACTTCACCAGATATGCTGCGCCTCTAAAGTTTATTAGGATTTGGCTTTGGGCATCCGGGATCAACTGCAAGGTGGTATTCATGTTTAAGCAAGTTTAAATAATACCGTAGTTGGAAGCGAATGTGGAGACAGTATTGATTCTTGATTTGCCTTCTACATTACAAAATGAAAAACACTACTTTTAACCCTGAACATTCTTGTGAAATAAGATGCATACATGCACAGCATTCAATATTCTCAAAAAGCTGCAATAACTTCACTTGTTAAAAATGGAAACTAACCCTTTCTAGAATAAAATAACTAAAGAAAGAAGCCTTGTGATTGTGAACAACCTGCTTTCTTTTCTAGCTTCATGTTTGTTTTCATTGTCCCCTGTTGCTACTAAATAATATGTAAGTTTCTTTTATGTACTTATTTTATATTGCTTGCTTTTCAGTTTTGCATTTTTCTCTTAAGTTTCTTAATCTTGTGTGTCAGTTATTTCCCTCAGAAAGTTGTGATGAACTAATGAATCATGTACTGCCTTTTTGGAGTCACGAATGATATATATTGTTATTGATGGAGCATATACACTATCAATATGGAGAATGAATTTATTTCTGGCTTTGTGATAAAGTTCCCTGCTTCTCTTATGTGATTTTTCAGGACAACAAAATTTCAGCTTTCAGTAGAGCCTGTGATATTTTTTGTGTTGAGTCTGGGCTGGTAAGATAGTAATTAACAACTGATATCATTAAAATTGGTTCCTTGTTTCGGGCAAGATTGACAACTCACTTCACCTATTGGGCAGTTGAGTATTTGGGACTTCTCAGGGCAGACAACACAAATTTTCACACATGACAGAATTAAGTTATCTGATGTTTCAGATCAACCAGATGAAGAGGTAATTAGTTTATGTATTTGATTTATAATATTGACTTGTGTTTGAACTTGCACATCTTAGCAATTGGCATATGGTAGAAGGCACTTCCAATCTTTGTTAGTTGCTTTGTAGAAATTAAATGGGTTTTCACACCCAAATCTGATAGCCATGTTTTGCAAAGGGTTTCCCTTGACTGCTGGGACACTGTTGAGTGCTGGGACTTCTTTTAGCTGAGTCACTCATACTTTTATTATCAAGAAGCATCTTTACTGCCTTCCTTTTCCTTCTTTTTTCTTTTTCCCATCTGCAATGACTATCAGTTGTTTCTTGCTGCAATTAACCAAATTAGGATATTAAAGTACTAAAGTCCTTGCTCCACTCCCTACCCAGGGGGTGCAGGCTAGCATTGGGCTGCCCCTATGGGGGGCCTGGGCCACAGGCCAATTTACATCGCTACTGTTTTTCCTCTCAGCACACTTGAATGTCAGGGACTGGAACTGGGGAGTGGAAGAAAAGGCCAACTTTGTTCGCTGTATATTTTATTAGGGATCTTTGTTATGGAAGTTAAAATTTGATAATTGCAGCTTGGTTCATATTCAAATGCCAGGAGGATAAAAACTCACACTTGTGACTTTATATCTATTATCATTTTATTTAATTTGCCCATCTTTTCTATGGTCAATAATCTGTATTCAATACTAACTGAAAATGCGAACTTATTCATGAACCAATGTGAAATATATAGTCATGTAAAATAACAATCCCCATCAAATTATGAAGGAATTTTTTGATATAGATGCTGGCTTTAACTAAAATTTGTCCATCAGGCTTAACAGGTTCTGCCCCTGGTGAGATCTGCTATGGAGGAAGATCTCCCATGCGAGCCACTACATTTTAGACATGAATTTTTTTTTTTAATTTTTATTTCAAGATGATTCTACTTGCAACTAATATCTAATAAAAATTTAATAGTTGCAGTATTTTATTAGGTTTGTTTTGGTTATGGTTTATGTTGTAGGAAACACCAAATTGGTTGTTACTTCTGATTCCTATAAAGGTACTATCACTTTTATTTTATTTTTTAAATTTCTGAGTGGGGCAATTAGTTGGATCATTTGAGATCGATGCAACTTGTTTTCTTCTTGTTAAAAATAATGGCAAAAGAAGAAAATATATTTTCCACTAACGATAATTTGCTGAGGATCTCTTAGTTTGACACTGACCTGGAATGGTCCAGCCTGTTGGGCATTCACTTTCAAGTGGCAAAAGAACCGAAGCATAAAGTATTCTTGTGCATTGGCCATTGAGCTTGACTCTTGATGAAGTGCTAGTGGTTTATGGAAATATCACATATTATATGTGGACACTTGGATTTTTGTTTGCTGGACCATTTATTGGTCTGTGATCTTTTGAGGTTTGTCTATTGGTTCAGAATAGTTTTAGGATTTATTGCCAGAGCAATAATCATATACATTTTAGTTATTTGGAACTCAAATGCTCTGTATACTTCATTCTTAATTGTCATGTTTTGCCTTTTCCCATAAATGTTAATTCACATTTAGCATTCAACTATTTGTTTAATTTGGTTCACCTTTTGCCATACTTGTGTACAGATTCATCTAGAATTGCAAGTCTATGGATCGTCATTTTTTATGAAGATGGGAGGCGGAAGGCAAGATGAAATGACAGTAGAGCAGTCTATTGTTGGAGGTTCCCTTCGTGGTGGTTCACTTCAGATGAACGGGAACACTGACCATGTTAACTCATATATTAGAGTTAATAGAAGTTCACCATTTGGTAGCAGCTACAAGGAAGCTTGTAACTTGGGCTTAACAGGGTTATATAATCTTGGGAACACTTGTTTCATGAACAGTGCCATTCAGTGTTTGGTGCATACTCCAAAGCTTGTTGATTATTTTCTTGGAGACTACAGAAAGGACATAAATACTGAAAATCCCTTGGGCATGAATGTATGTATATTTGGAATCCAACAATTAGTTATTTGTACTTTTGAAAGAGCTTGTTCTGGCATTTTGCCCTCTTGTTATGTTTTTTGTTGGTGGCCTCTTCAATGTGTCATACTCTCTCTCTCAATGTGCACTTTTTGGCCAGGGTGAACTTGCTTTACTATTTGGAGATTTGTTAAGGAAGTTATGGGCTCCAGGAGCAACACCAGTAGCTCCAAGAGCGTTCAAATCGAAACTTTCTGCTTTTGCACCTCAATTCAGTGGTTATAACCAGCATGATTCCCAAGTTAGTGAACTTTCCTTGCTTTTAGAAGTATAGTCTGTACTATTGTTTCTCTATGTCTTCTGGATGCAAAATAATTCTTATAATTTGTTGTTTTTAATGCAGGAATTTCTTGCTTTTTTGTTGGATGGGCTCCATGAAGATCTCAATCGTGTGAAATACAAGCCTTACATAGAAGCAAAGGAAGCAGAAGATCGGCTTGATGAAGAAGTGGCAGATGAGCACTGGCGGAATCATCTGGCTCGCAATGACTCCATCATAGTTGATGTGTGCCAAGTGAGTCTTCTGTGATTTGGACTTGTCTACCACGATTAAATTCATTTTAATATGTACTTGTTTTATGATTTTAGATTGGAGCAGTATTTGGATTAGTTTCTTTGCTTCAAACTTTGGTGCTTCAGTAGCATATGCTGTAAATTTGCTTGGTCTTTCTTTTCAACTGAGTTGAATTCTTTCTTCTTTTTTTTTTACTATAGGGTCAATACCGTTCAAAATTGGTTTGTCCAGCTTGCAAGAAATTGTCCGTTACATTTGATCCATTCATGTATCTTTCGTTACCACTACCTTCAACAACAATGCGCTCAATGACTTTGACAGTCATGAGCACTGATGGGAGTACTTTGCCATTTCCAGTCACTGTAACTGTACCAAAGTATGGAAGATGTAAGGATCTAGTGCAGGCCTTAAGCACCACATGTTCTTTGAGAGATGATGAAAAACTGTTGGTAGCTGAGGTATGTTTTGTAGCAATGTGGTCTATAATTAATATTTAATGTAGTTGTGAACTCTAATTCTTTCTCTACATATGTGCAACAAACAACTTGCATCAAGGTCTCACTGAAAATGATGGGTTTTCAAGCACCATATTGTCATGTCACTTGCATGATGGTGTAGTGTGTTGGACTTCAAGCACTGTAATTGGTCATGTAGCACTTGACCAGTTATGTTCTCTGAAATGTAATGCATGCATTTTCTTTCATTTTATTTTCAGTGGACAATAGAAAGATGATGTGTTGCATTTTTTTTATGGTTGCTCAACGTAGATCAACGTGTCGAAAGATTATGCATTTGAGCCTTAAAATTGAACCAACCATGGATACAGACATGGGACACGGCCATGCATACACAATAGCTAACTAAAAATTAGGACTTGGACATGTTGAATAAAAAAAAATGTATATTATATATTATAAATCCATATATCAAGATATCAAAACAACAAAACCACTAAACCAAAAACCAAGAACTAAGAATCTATGGCATTTTATATTTAATCATCATTCATCACTCCATAATTCTACCATTTGACATATAATCATAAGATTGTCTATCTAGAAATTTGCCAACAACTGTACAAAACATCTGTATATAAACCAAAAAAAATATAAAAATTGTCCCAGATGTGTCAGGCACTGATACATGAGGTCAGACCAAGTGTATGTGCTTAATAGTTTAACGTAATAGGTATCTAGTCGACAATCATTGGAGTTCGTTGGATGACGACAAAGGTCATTGAATTTCATGGATGTGGGAGCTAATATTTATAGTTTCATTTCTTTCTCATTCCTGGTTCTTAATATTTTTCCTTTTTTAGATCCACTAGTTTCCAAAAGTTAGCTTATTCTTTATCTTCTTTTCATGTTGAGTATTTATGTATTTTTTTCATTTTTAATATTCTTTTAAAGTGTCTCTCAATGTGTCCCCACATGTTCATAATTCAAAATTATTTTCAGACACTTCTCATGTGACACTTGTCTGAGCATGTTCAGAGCATGTCCCTGTCCCAGAAGTCTTGGGACACTGATGCATAGGTCAAGGGGAGGTGCTCGTGCTTCATAGAAACTGAAGATTGTTCTTCAATCACCATATTAAGTGAAATGACACTCATATAGTTATATAGCACAATAACCTTGACTAAAGGAATTGCTAATTCTAAATACAAGAATTTTTGTATTTCTGAAGAAAAATTAATCATCAAAAGTAAAGAAGGAATTTGGTGACTTTAAATTATATAATTGTCCTGGTGTTTTGTTTATTGCTCTGAGGTCATACCTGTCTATATGAGGTGCTTATCTTTGTTTACAAGCCTTATAAGCAAATTTGGCATGAGAGATCTGTATACACAAATGTGAAATTTATCCTTTACATGCTTGTGCCTGCAATATTACAATATTGGGATCTGATCTTAGGAGTGCTTTGCAGATTTTCAACAATCGCATTCTTCATTTTTTGGATAATTCATCTGATACGATAGAGCTTATTCGAGATAATGATCTGCTTGTCGCTTATAGATTGCCAAAAGACAGTGAGACATCTTCTTTGGTTGTATTCATGCATGAACAGGTGGAGAGGTTAGTTGTTGTATCAGTCATCCATTATTTTGGTTTCATTAATTTAAAGTGATTTCCATAGGTGTTAGCTCTAGTCATATGAAGTCTTGATAAGATATGCCATATTTTCTTCTATTTATAGTAGGTTTTCCCCCCCTCCCTATTTGATATGTTGATTTATCTGGTAGTTTTAATTTATCTATAGAACCTTATAAATATCGAAATCCCCGTTCAAATGAGCTCAAGTAAATCCAGCTCAAAGTTGATTGAACGAGCCTTAATCCCAACTCAAGTATTCTATAATCATTGTTTTCTGGAATGGCCAAAGTAGCTGAGTTATTGTTGGTCTCTTCTATCCCAATCTGACCTTGCATTCTGTTGTTTATGAGGCCTTATCTTTATGCAACTAGTTGAATTTGGATGGCATTGTAAAACTTCTAGTGTGACTTTGTGAGCAATTTCTTCTCTTTTGGCAAATAGAATGAGCATGGAAGCATTCTTGTTACCATAATATGGGGGCCTTTTCTTGGGGACTGAAATTTATGTTGATAGTTATTTCTCCCCAAAAGTAAAGCATTTGACTTGTTAGCTGTATATCAGACTCCTCTATGGATTCTGTTAGACCATTTTTTTAAAATTCTTTCTTGGTAGTTATTAATTTCTTAATATGGGAGTAGTGCAGTTGCTATTTTTACATGGAAAATTTGTGGAAGATGCTTATTAGTTGGTAGCAGAACTAGTTCAGTGTTGGAGAGCTTGATATGCATTGTTGTGCCCCTTTCCTAACAGTTTAAACTTTGGGACTAGTGTTGGTCTAACATAGTATTAGAAGTTAGGTTAAGAGAGAAGCCTTGGGCTCAAGTATCTCCATTTGATTTTTCCCTCATTTGCATTTTGTTTCTCTACATGTTTGGTTGATTGCATCTGCACATGCAAAACGGGATAGCACGTCAGGGATGGTGTTGGAGAGCATGATATGCATTGTTGGGCCTAGCTTAAACTTTGGTACTATTGGTGACCTAACACACACAAGTTGTGCATTTCTTTTATGCTGTACTATTTGTTACTAATTTTGTTGGCTTCTTGATCAATGTTTAAATGGAATTTAACACGGTTTGCATGTACGTTCTTTCAAACATTTGATATCTTTGATGGTGATTACTTATTTCTAGCTTATTTTATTGGTCAGGCATTTCTTGAATGCAACTTCATCTTCAAAGATGTTTGGTATTCCTCTTGTAGCAAGGATATCCGACCTTTCTAGAGGATCTGAGATACGTAGAGAGTTCCTAAAATTACTAAATTCATTTTTAATGCCGGTGGAAGATTCTTTGAACGAAGTTGATAATGATCAAAACAGTGCTAATGAAGATATTGATATGGAGGATGTTATTAGCTCCAGATTATCAGATAGAGATGTAAACTCAGACAGTGGATCAGGGGATGACTCACATTTGGGTCCCGACGACTTCCAGTTTTACTTGATGGAAGAGAGGGGAGGATTATTGTCAAAAGTTCAAAAGATGCAGATGAATGAGATAGTAACAATCTCAGAGTTAACCAGGCCCATAAATGTACTTGTTTCTTGGCCAGATAAAATGACTAAACTATACGATACTTGCCTTCTAAGCTCATTGCCACAGATTTGCAAGCCTGGGTTACTAACAAAGGAACCTAAAGAATCTGTTTCACTTTATAAATGCCTTGAAGCCTTTCTGAAAGAAGAGCCTCTTGGACCAGAAGACATGTGGTTAGTATATATTCTAATAATTACTTCACTTTAGATATCAAATCTGACTGGAAGAAAGGGAGATCTTTTGGTAACATAACAGCGCAACTTGGTTTTGCCTGATAGTTCATATTATCGTTTGCTAATCTTCTATCTGATGATTAAAGGGGAGAGAGTAGGATAAAGATTGTTGTTTAGTTTAATTAATTTTTTACAGATGTATATTAGTTTGTCTTATAAGTTGGCCCCTCTAATGCTAGATGTTGTCATCATAACCTTTGTTAGGTACTGTCCTAACTGCAAGAAGCATCGACAAGCCAGCAAAAAGTTAGATCTCTGGAGATTGCCAGAGATTCTGATTATTCATTTAAAGAGGTTTTCATACAACCGGTTTTTCAAGAACAAGCTGGAAACATTTGTTGACTTCCCAATTGATGATTTTGATCTATCAACTTACATTGTTCATCAGAGTGCCCAGGTGTCCCATCGTTATGTGTTGTATGCAGTTAGTAATCATTATGGTGGCATGGGTGGCGGTCACTACACTGCTTTTGTCCAAGTAAGTGTTGCTTTTATTTAAAGTTGGTTTCTGTTAAAAATGAGGTATTATTGATTGATTGTTGATTGTTGATCTATGTCTATTACAAATGGTTCCTTATATAGATGTAGGTGTAGTGGATGGTGTGTAGTGGATAGTGATAGTGGTGTAGTGGGTTAGGTTTAGTGGAGTAGGTGAGGTGGTAGTGGTGTAGTAGGTGAGGTGGTAGTGGTGGTAGGTGATGGTAAATTCTAACAGTTTCTATGATTGCTTTTGAAATAGCTTAGTGCACTTTTTTTTTTTTTTTAGGAACTAGCCTGATTATAAATTGTTTAGAGCCAGCATAACTCATTTATATGCCTTCTAAAATTTACCCATAAAGTGGGAACCACTTTTGTTATTCTCTCTCTCTCTCTCTCTCTCTCTCTCTCTCTCTCTCTCTCACACATACACACACACACACAAACGCGCGTGCGTGCACACACACAAAACCTCTTCCCTTCTAGATCATGGTGGTGGCTTTTGGTGGATGTTATGAAATTAATGGTGGTGTTTGGGTAGTGGCATCAAAATAGTGTGGTCAAGGAGCAAATTTTGTTTTTCCATAGAAAATTTTCTGTTTTCTAGGAAATCAAAACGAAACAGTAGTGAAATATCTAAATTCCAATGTATCTAACTGCGAATGCTGGGTGGAGGGGCTGAGGTGGAGTGGAGGATTGTCGGCTGAGGTGGGAAGAAAAGGGGGTTGGGGGTGTGGGCGGCTGAGGGTGGAGAGAGGCTTGCTATGGCTAGATGAAGGCTAGGTGGGGGAGTGAAGGGGAGATGTCGATTGAGGGTGGGGCTGGTAAGGTGGGGGTTGGGTGGCTATGGGTTGGGGCGAGGGTGGAGAGAAAGGGCTGCGATTCTAGGCGGGGGGGTACTATGAGTTCCCGCGGGGGGGGGGGGGGTTGTTGGTGTTGTTGATTGAGGGTGGGGGTGGTCAGCTGCGATGGGTGTGGGTGGCAGTGGGGAGAGAAGGGTGTAGGTTAGGGAGGAAGAGATGAGTAGTAGGGAAATTTTGATTTGCTATTGAAGGTTAATGGGTTGGTTTGGCAAGGTCTCATTGGGCTTTTTTGGCTCAATGAGCCATAAAAGACAGAATAGGCTCATGAGCCACAACAGACAAAACATCCCATCCAACCCCATAATCATTACACTCTTCTCTCACAAAAAAATCAAAAAAGCCAAATGCCCTTCCCAAACTAAGCTTTTGAGCCCAGGCTCATATAGTCAAAAAAGTCAAAAAGCCAACCCACTTCCCAAACGGACGCTAAGTAATTTTGCATTTCCTGTTAATCTGTTTGTAAATGACAAACTCTGGTTGGTAGAATGTTTAGGTTTTTAAACCGCAAGGAGGAATCTATATTTTAAACAGACTATAGGAGTTGTATTTGTATTTTACCCTTTTTATTTTTTGGTTTTAAAATTTACTTTGTGATCGATCATGAGCTTTTAACTCTGCGGGTGTTGCTATGTAGCTTGGGCGTGATCGGTGGTATGAGTTTGACGACAGCCTTGTCTCCCCCGCTAGCAAGGAGCAGATAAAGACATCAGCCGCCTATGTTCTTTTTTACCGGAGAATACCAGATGTATGATATATGACAACATGGCCAGTATAGTCGTTACATTTGAAAAGCCGGGTGGACAGAGCGGCTTTGTTTTCTTTTTGAACTTTCCATTTGCAAGTGTGCAGCATTTTTGGTTCTTTGAGTTTGGAATTTGGTTAAAAAACTGAAACTCAGCATCTTTTGCACATGGATCAGAATTACAGGAAACCCAAACCCAATATAGAGGTAACAGAGTTGATAAAATTTTATTATGTATATATGGTAGGACAATGGGGAGGATATCAAATACTTACCAAAGAGCATGTCTTTTTGTGTTTTATTGGTACGTGCTTTGCTTGCTACCTCCGAAAGAAAATATTTCCAAATATGTTCATTAATTCAGTTTTATGAAGGAGAAGCTGCCTTTAGTCTGATATTCCTGGAACTATTGTGTATATATATATCGAAATTTGAAAATATGATGAAATGCATTTTGATCGCTCTCTCAATTGAAGTCCGACTACATTGCATTCTTTGTTGTGAAGCTTTTGGTTTGTTTGCAAAGAAAACAGATTGATCTGTCATAGTGAAGTGAAACAACTATAATCCATTTGGTTTTGTGAAAAAGGTTTTTGAAAGGAAAGAGGAATGGATTGGAAATTTCTATTTGGTTGCTCAGGGAAGGAGAGAAAGCAAGCCAGAAAAAAATTGTTGGGCTCAGTTCAATTGGAGTTCTTGCTGGGAGGGTCGAATTGTAAATTGTTGTCCAGAGATGGTTTCAATTTTAAATTTTGATTTTTTTTTCAAAAAAAAAAAAAAACAACTTTGATGAATTTTATTTTATTTTTTAAAAAAATGGTCTAATTTTTTTAGCAAAATCTTTAAATTAGGATTATGGTTGGACAAGTCTTTAAGTAATTAGTGAATAAAACTAATGTTGAATTTGGAATTGTTGATTTTGCGAAAAGTAATAGAGATGATTAATTTTCGTTTTTAAATGAATTTTTAACAATAATTAAACATGCTATTGCAGTTATGGGAGCAAGCATAAAACTTTTTACAACTTATATTGTGTCTAGTTTGGCAAAAAGAATTGAAATTCAGTTTTATCAACCATGTCAAATTTGATATTTTACCGAGTATCCACTTGAAATCTTCTTTACAGAAGAGAAGAAAAATCATGGAAGAGATATGATCAAAGGCTTGTGTGTTTTTTATAATACATTGGAAATTGTTCTCTAATATTCATTATCATTGATAAAATTGGTAGGCTTGTGTTTTTTTTATAATACATCGAAAATTGTTCCCTAATATTCAAAATCAACAATATACTGTGATGGGAAGAGAATTGTAATAGTAAGAAGTGACAAATTTTTTAACAATGATTCATTCCATTAATTTGAGAGCACTAATTGATCACTAATGAGGTAAAAATTAAAAAAAAAAAAAACACACACACACACAAGAGCACTTAGGCCCCGTTTGGGGACTAACTGTTTTAGCCAATTAGTCAAAAAGTTACTAAATTAGCCAAAAAGTTAACAACCCATACCAAAAAGTCAAAGATTACGGCTTCTCTCTACTTTTTGCACAACTTTTTGTAATTAGCCAAAAAGTCATCCCAAACATACAAGTTTTTTTTAGCTAACTTTTTAGCCAAATAGCCAAAAAGTTACTAAATTAGCCTGTTCCCAAACGAGACCTTATATTGTGTCTAGTTTGGCAAAAAGAATTGAAATTCAGTTTTATCAACCATGTCAAATTTGATATTTTACCGAGTATCCACTTGAAATCTTCTTTACAGAAGAGAAGAAAAATCATGGAAGAGATATGATCAAAGGCTTGTGTGTTTTTTATAATACATTGGAAATTGTTCTCTAATATTCATTATCATTGATAAAATTGGTAGGCTTGTGTTTTTTTTATAATACATCGAAAATTGTTCCCTAATATTCAAAATCAACAATATACTGTGATGGGAAGAGAATTGTAATAGTAAGAAGTGACAAATTTTTTAACAATGATTCATTCCATTAATTTGAGAGCACTAATTGATCACTAATGAGGTAAAAATTAAAAAAAAAAAAAACACACACACACACAAGAGCAAAACATCCTATCATGTGGGACCCACACCACTTTGGAGCTATTAGTGCTCCTCTTTTTAGTGGTCTCACTCATTTTTTCAATTTTTTTTTATAGAACCGTCCAAGTTAAGGGAAACAACAATGATAGAGACCACTAATTTTGGATCTCTAAAAAGATCACTAATGACATGGCACTCAATAAAAAAAGAAAAAAATACAACACCAAGGCCAAAACATCAAATCATTCATGGTGGGGCCCACTGCCACATCATTAGTGGTAGCACTAATTAGTGCTCTCACTCATTTTCCTAAGGGAAAACAAGTAAAAGAAATACCTAAGATGCTCGAAGAAGAGATAATTGAAGTATCAAACATCTCTTCAGTTAGTTGGGAACTTTACAAAATTACGAGAAGAGGCCAAATCAACAGCGAGTTAATACAAGACATGAACCTTTGTATTTTTTAAAAATAAGAAGAATTTTACATGACAAATAAAGCCAATAAAGGCAAGAATCTTGTAGACAAGTCACGTGGAGAACAAAGCTAAGAAAAACTGACATGACAGAAGAAACCAAAATAGATAAAGCCTTGTCAAAGGAAGCTTACATGACAGATACAACCAATAAGATTGTTGGCTACATATTTTGTAAAAGCTAATCGTAACTTGACACGTGATACATGAAGGGCAATTCGAGGAGTTAATACAAGTTTCCAGTCAAAGACAGACACGTGGTAGGTCATATTGGTTATAATGGATCTGCGCAGCACTGGAATAGCTAGAAGGCGCAAGATGGCGTGGCCCAACGGTTACTCATAAATTTGAATTCAGAATCAGGAGAGAAGCCGAATTGCTAGAATGGTGTAGTGGAGCTGACTGTGAGAGAGCATGATTAGCAATTATGGGAGAATATTTCGACGGTTGGAAGTCCATTTCGACGATTACCCTTAGAGAGTATAAATAGCAGAGAAGGCTCCAAATTGAAAGACCCAGACTCAGATATAGAAACCAGTCATTTACTTCATATTTTCTTTCCAGTTTTACATTTTCAGTTCTTTACATTTCCAGTTCTTCAATTCCTGCACTGCTCTTCATTTCCTAGGAGTAGTTTCAAGTAGTCGTTGCTGTAAGCCTTTTCAAAGCTGGGTCATTTCATTGTAAGTTCTTATTTGCTTAATGAAATTCAGTTTCTGAACTGCGCATTGTACTTGTTATTATTTGTAAGTTTCTCTAAATCAAGCCGCTAGTAAAAGTCCTCTTCATTGAGGCTAAAAGAACTTCAACACAATCGTCTAATAATTTGTTGGCAATTAAAAATTCTGTAAGGACTTATTGATCCTTACTGGCACGCTTTAAATTACATAATTAACCTTGAAAAGTCAAAAAAGCCAACATATATTTTTTGGCACGCCCAATGGGGCTATTATAATGGCTAGACGTAGACGACAAGGAGAAAATGAGTGCCTTGAAGAAGGCATAAAAGAAGAAATGACAAACGAATTGAATTTTACTATTCAAATTTGTCAAAATGAAATATATTGGCGTGAAAGAAAATTTTTGGATCTTTAAGAAAAGATCCATTTTCTTGATGAAGAAAATTTCTTAGTTGTTTTTTCATTACCATATTATTTGGTAGAAGAAAAAATACACAATTTAATTGGAGTAATTCATCAACTTGGTGTGGAAATTTGCCGATGGTGACATGAGTTATCAACCCTTCTTGTTAAGTCTTCAATAACTGAATTTTGTGGGATTTTACAAAATGTTTTCAAGTTATTTGTGATTGAAATTAATGAAAATATTTCATTAATGGCTCGGGGGGTTCAAGAGTCCTTTTTTAAAGAGCCAAATTATGAAATTAACATAATGAAAGAGCATGCTTTTGAGCCAAATTTGGCTAAGAATGATGTTCCATGCATGGCTCGAGGGGTTAAAAACCCCATTTTGAAAGAGCTAACTTATGAAAATAACATGGCTAAAAAGCATGTTGTTGAGCCAAATATGATTAGAAATGATGTTCCATACAAGGCTCGGGGGGTTGAAAAACCCGTTCTTAGAAAGTCAAGCAATGGAAATAACATATCTATGGAGGATTTTCATAAGCCATTAATGGCTAAAATAAAAAAAACAATTCCATTTGTCAATGAATGATGAAAGTTATTTGGCCAAAGAACATGTTCTTAGACCAAAAGTGATTAAAGATGATGATCAACCCACTATTGACGGATTTAAAATATTTGACATTGTTGAAAATGTCAAAGTATTTGAATTTCCCAGGCTATATTATGCCATGACTTTCGGTGTTCAAAATTTATTTTGGATTTGTGGGTCACATCAAAATTTAATTTTGATGAAATGACTAATAAAACAATCATCTTTAAGCATTGTTCTAATGAGTTTGATGCACTGAAAAAAAATTAACCGTTTGAAAGGTAGAACTCGGCTAAGAGTGGCCAAAGCGGTTCAAAGGTATGCCAAAGTAGTTCGAAGGTCTATATATTTGATTTGAAGGTAATTCGAAACTCGAAAACACTTCAAAGTGCCAAATATTTAGTTCGAAGGTAGGTCGAAGCTCCCTCAAAAGCACTTCAAAAGTCTATACATTTGGTTCAAAGGTAATTCGAAACTCGAAAATACATCAAAGTTCCATATATTTAGTTTGAAGGTTGCTTGAAGCTCCCTCAAAATCACTTCAAAGGTCCATATATTTAGTTAGGAGGTAATTCAAAACTCTGCAAAACACTTTAAAGTGGTGTAATTTGAAAAGTGTGTATGTTGTTTGTCACTTCGAAGCAATTTGAAGTAGTACAATCCAAAGTGAAAATATATGGTTAAGGTCTGAAGAATCATGCTTCGAAGGTCTTGAAATTTCCATAGTCTCATGATGCATCAAAGGTCTCAAAGTAAAGCATAGAAAGGCCAACTGTTACTGATGGCTCAAAGAAAATAACATTGGCATGCATTGTGACTAAATCAAATTGGTGATATTTTGCTAAGAATTCACCATTTCAAACACATGCAAAGAAATCCAATTTCGAAACACACATTAAAATTCAAAGTATGTGAACTTATTTTAATTATGTTTTGAAGCCTTATAAACTCTCCAAGCAGGTAGCTATTATGCATTCGAAGCTTTTAAAGCTTCTAAAATATGTCGTGAGCACCTTCGGAGCAATGTTTTGGTTCTTTTTTAACAAAATTGAATCGTGTTGTATGATAAAAGAGCCTTTGAATGCGTGTCTCCCTTCGAATATATTAATTAATTGCCAAGTATGGTTTAAATTGATGTACAACTCTTCATGAATTTGAGGTTCCTCATTCTGAAAGAGTTGCGGGGGGTAATGTTGGCACCATAAATCTGTAATGATGATTATTATTATTATTGATAAATTGCAGGACACATGACACTCTCTTACTTATTTGGAGGTTATG